CCCTCAATAAATCTCTCTCATTCTGCTCGACATCAACCGGAGTGGTTTTCTCCTTTTATTCCCTCTCTCCTGGTTGACACCTCTGCAAGTCATCAGTCAGCAATTCGTTTCCAACAACACTTTTAGTCCATCGGAGTACATTGCTACTGAAAACTTTAAACGCGTTTTTCTCCCATTTCTCATTTACGTTACCGTGTGCCGCCTGCTGGTCACATTTTTTTGAGCGAGCGACTAGTCCTCGTGCCTGATTGTAGCCTAGGTATCTGCTTTTCCTTTGACGAGAGCGATTCTTGATATCTCTTTACTAAGATACCGAAAACAAGGGCAAAGTACCCAGTTTTTACCCCAACTATTTTCCACACAATAAGATCAGAAATTTTAACATCAAACTAAAGCTACATCTTTTCTGAGTAAATGAGCATTTTTGTCGTTGTCGTAGGTCCATCTTTTGATGCACAATCCTGCTCACGGAAAAGCTTGTAACCTTTCTCTTCGAGTCCAAGAAGAGCACGTTCCTGGATGAGCGCACAAATGTTCTATCTTACTAGCTATATGTACGCCAGACCACGTCTCGCGTAACAGGCTTCGCGATTTCTCACGAACACTGTTACGCTGCGACGCGCCTGGCGCACATATAGCTAGGCCTGCGGCGCTGACACCCAAGACGGGGTTATAGGAGTGTATATACAATTTTTCGAAGTGAAGTCTTTTTAACGATTTCACCGACCGTTTGATCATTTTCACTTCATTTTTGCCAAGAAATGCCCCTAGCACATAAACGGTACAAGATAGAGCCAAACGGACGAAATTTTCGCCCAAAGGGCTCTATTTTGATGGGTTACCCCTTAGGAACCCATAAAAAAATATATGATAAAAATACATATTGCGACCTGTAGTTGTTGATTTTTTAAAAAGCCAATTTTTGAGCTAGAATGCTCATCTTCGAACTCGATCTGTCTTTTTATGATACAAAACGACCCTCAAAATCCCAGATCGCTACCTCAATTCTTTCTCGAGTTATCGTGCGGACAGACAGACAAACAAACACACAAACAGAATGAAACTTTTCGGGTCAGTGGAGTAATGGGCTTCGCTTATCGCTCAGCCAAAAAAGTAGCTTAATCCTTTGTTTTTGTAAATATCATTCAATGAAAGTGCCGCGATTCATAGTTCTGTTTGTTGTTTCGATTCTTACAGACCCTTGCGTTTCGCAGGTCTGCCCCCTCAAGGATAGGGTATACCGCTGCACGACGGCCTGTTTCCACCTGCGCGCTCGCTGGCTGACCGACACACCGACGCCAAACAGCGTTCAGAAGTAAACATCAGGCAGTCGTGCTTTTCTTCTGTAGGTTCTGATCGTCGTGCAGTGGAGTACTCTATTTATAAATACAAACAAATTGTTTGAGTCACGAAGAGCCTGGTTTGCACTGAGGTGTTCCCACACTGGGCCCTTTTAGTTTCTTGCAAAGAGGGGTCTTCATGTCACGAAGAATTGGGTTTGTAACGTAGAAAGATCTCGAACCACCATTTTACAAACAGATTTTCTTCGTATTCGTTTCTTACAGCGAGCCACTTTTTGCAACGTGCAAATTATTTAGCACATTCGTAATGTAAACAAATGCTTTAAATTACGAAGGGCTCGGCTTCGTTGAACCAAGAGCACGCGTCTTATACAATTTAGTGCTCTTTCTCCCGAAGAAGATCCATTATTTGTAATACGGTGGTTCCAGATCCCTCCTACGCTACAAACCCAATTCTTCGTAATATGAAGACTGCTCTTCCCATGGAAATAAGTGTGCATGTAATACACATAATAACGCAGTACCTCCCCCTACTTTGACTGGTACGAAATTTGGGGGCTGAATGGTTCAACCCCGTCGGGGTGCTCTTTTCTTGAGGTCTGCTGGATACAGATATCAATCCTAAAACAAATCGTTTCTGCCGATGAAGAGTTTTCAAGTTATAAGGTGCCAACAGTGGACAGACCAGTGGGATCACTCGAATAGTAGGCTTTCTTTTTGTCGCTTTGGCAATCATATATTTTTGTGCATTAAAGTTGTGTATGTAAATCAATAACTTTCTTTTTCCTATTTTCAGATCACTATCTGGGTGACGGCTCCCCCAATGCTTTTCACCGGCACAGCATTCTACAAAAGCAAAAGCAATCCTGGTTACAGGCTTGACTCGCTTGCGACAATTTTTGTTGGCGGGTCTGGTTTAAACGCCCAGTTAGAGGAAAGCATCGAACAGGATGTAGACTGCAGAATTGTTCAAGCGTACGCCAGCACTGAAACCGGTTTTATTTGCTCCCGCTCCCGGCTCAAGTCTTCGGCATCCCCACATGGGGTGTTAGGCACTCTTTCGCCCGGCGTGGAGTTCAGGGTAATGTAGTGATTGACCTACAAATCCAAAGTGTCGTATAATACAACAAGCAGGCCCGCCCTTCCGCCAAATGAAGTCGCCAGCTTCACTTCGCTCCGCAGGCAACTCCGTTCGGCAGGGGCCAGGCCTCCTTCCTGCTTGGCCTGCCGGCCCTTAAGACTACCTTCTTGCACATGAGAAAAGACTTCAATGGTGCGACACCGTGATTAAACCTCGCCCTTCTGCTTTTAAAATGAATGAAATAACAAAACAAAAAAACCAAATACAGTTTTCAGCTTGTATTGTTTCTCAGACAGTCTTCAAACTGGACTTTTTGCCATCGTTTTAAGTATATCGACCTATACCTCTGAAACGGATACGGCAATGCCAAGGGCCTAACCCAAATTCAAAAATAAATTGTTGCCAGCTGGTGGACGTCGACACGGGTGAGGACATTCCTACGGACGTGAAAAACGCTGTGGGTGAAGCACGGATCCGCTCAAAATACGTCATGCTGCGCTATTGCAACAACCCAGAGGAAACCAAAAGGGCCTTTGACGAGCACGGATTCTACAAGACGGGTGACCTTTTGTACGAAAACGACGAGGGCTCTTATGTCTTTGTTGACCGCATGAAGGAAGTGATCAAGTACAAAAACAACCCGGTGGGCTTCTCAGGAAACGAATAGTTGGCGTTTGTGACTAGCGCGTTTTTTTTTACTTGCTCTTAAACCGTTTTATCTGTCATGTAGATTTCGCCAGCTGAATTAGAGATGGTGCTCTTGCAGCACTCTGGCGTAAAAGAGGCGTGCGTCCTAGGGCGTGCGTGCACAGCTTCCGGTGAATTGCCGACGGCGTTCGTGTCCCGGGCAGACAACGCGGCTGGGGCCTCCCTGACCGAGGACGAGCTGCGAGCCATGGTCGCTGAAAAACTCGCTGACTATAAGCGTCTGCGGGGTGGAGTCATCTTCCTCGATCAGTTGCCACGGACAGTGAGTGGCAAGACTGACCGCCGTAACCTTAAAGAAATGCTACAGAAAATAAAAGAGTAAATATGCAAATGAATAAATAAATAAACGAGGGGGCGATGTAACTGCGGGAATCATGTGCACACCTGCCTAGGAATCATCAGGATAAAAAATAATCGAAATCAACAAAAATCGCTCAAAATAAGCGGGGAACTAGTGGAACTCGTACAAATTAGATGAAATAAGCGTTTCCTACCATTAGAAAACCTAAGGAATGAACATAAGTGGACGGGAATCACTGGGATTTCAGAAATTATGTGTACACATCAAAAGGGAGTTATTGCCCCCTCGTAAATATATAAACATGTCGAATTTTAGGATTCCTGAAACAAAATAGTTATTTTCTTCAAATATGTACCTGTTTACGGCTAGTCGAATTAGGTCTCCACAAGCACGTTTCCAATTCCATTTTAGCAGATGATACCTCAAAAGCCCTTTGACTAAACATATAGAATACACCAGAAACTTTAAGGTTTTAGCTAGCTTTTACTCTCGATAAGTAAAAAAGACCCAAACTCAGAACAGAAAACAATTTCTTTGGCGCTGAGAGACCGAGTGCATGGCTGGCTTGCTGTAGACCCCTACCTAACAATTCTGCGCCATGCGGGGGCAGGCTCCATCCCTACCCAACAATACTGGTCCTGGGCGAGGTCCTGGGCCACCGGCCGCGCTGCCCGCCACTGAATGAGGAAGTTGCCCAATGTGGCGGAGCGTAGCGGGGAACCAAAACGCAACCGAAGCAAAAAGCAACAAAAGAAAACTGCGCTATACAACTTAATCCGCGATATAAAGCATTCCTTCTCGTAGGTTATGGTGCTTTGTTTTGTTTCCCGCTACGCTCCGGGCAACTTCCTCATTGTCTCCTGCTCTACGCCACTAGTACGCCGAATGAGGTATTTTCTGAACTAGGTAGATGTACGCCAGGCCACGTCTCGCGTAACAGGCTTCGCGGTATCTCACGAAACACTGTTACACTGCGACGCGCCTGGCATACATCTACCTAGGCCTGCGGCGCTGACACCCGAGTCGGGCAAAAGTCAGAGTCGTAGATAGGCCTTCGGCTCCAAAGGACACAACTTATACCCCCAGGATTTTATTTTGACGAGTTGCCCCACCAGAGACCATCAATTATCTGAGAAACTACATTAAAATGGTTTGATAGAGCCAAACGGACAAAATTTTGGTTCTACGGGGTCTACTTTGACGAGTTACTTCTTAGAAAGATGTTAAAACAAGCAGGCCCGCCCTTCCGCTAAACGAGGTCGCCAGCTCCGCTTCGCTCCGCCGGCAACTCCGTTCGGCAGGGGCCGGGCCTGCTTGGCCTGCCGGCGGCGATGGTCGGGCCTGCGGCCCGACCATTTCTGTCACGAGATTTGCT